CATATTTTTTTTAGTCCAACTGTTTTTAATATTTTTTTTTTTCTACTTGCTTTGATTCTGTTTTATCTTCCTGTATTTTAATCATGTAAAGCACTTTGCATTGTCTTTGCTATACATATAACTTTGCCTTGCCTTGCCTTTGTTTGAGCATAAAATCCTAATAAACACATAGGTTGCAGCTTAAGTCTGAAAAAAATGGGAAAAGTTTATTTTTATTTGAGAAATTTGAAAGCTAAATAAACCAATTTCCTTAATTTTAGCATCACATCATCTGCATTGTTGGGCAGAATGTTGCGAAGGAAAAAACATGTTTTCTCAAAGGGCTGCATATCAAATCACCCAAAGCTGCAAAGCATATGGCACGCCGGGAGAAGCCAGAGGTGAAGCTCGCCTGATTAGACGCGCAAATAAAGGGGAGTCAAAGGTAAAGCCGAAGAAAATGAGAGGAGTGGGGAAAACTGAAAGCCTTAATAATAACAGGACATACACACACATTCACCTGTGTTTACCGACGCGAGGCAAAACATAAACGCCTTAGACCGTTTAGAGGAAGACATTTACATTCCTGTAGCGTCAAAGTCAAGGATTGGATGATGAATAACATCCCTCATGTTTTTCGCTTTTTTTTTTTTTTTGCAAGAGTTCCTCCAAGCGGCATTAAAACACCTGTTTTTCTGCGTTTGTTTAGAAATTAAAAATTGTACATTCAAGCATTCATAAAAAAAACACCTTAGTGGGTAAGCACTCCAACTGCGATGATATTCGCCGGTCTAACGCTGACAAAAGGCCAGGGCTGAAAACGTAAAGGGCAGCAGGGGCATAAAAAGTGTCTGGCGCTGGAAGATAAAAGCCATCATTAGGGAGTAAAATGAGATAGGAGGAATAAACAGGCGGCGAGTGGCCCCGGCATTCACTATATATTGTCTGTTATGCTATGCTTCAAAGGATGGCTTGTTTGGATGAAAATAATGTGTTTTATGCTTTATATATTTCACGGCTTTCCCTGCTCTCTGGAAGCACAATAGCGGCAGATTTGGCCTCTTCACACCTCCGTTCCCCATCCCTTCAAAGCGGTCCATTTACCTAACTCTTTTCTCTTAACAAGACAAACATGATGTTCATTGGATTCATCAGAGAGTCTAAAAAGAAAAAAAAAAAGTTTTCCCAGAGAGAAGCACCACCGACGAGGCACAGCGTGATCTTTCCCTGCTCTAATTGTTGCTACGTAGAAACACAACCCGCTTTTAGCTCCCAATTAAAGCGCCTCTTAACATTTAGGGAGAACAGGCTGAAACCCCGCATCATCACTTTTTCTGAGCAACCTCCTCATTGTGGTGTCACTCCTGGCTCTGAACGTTAATTACCTCTGAAGAAGCACCTCTGCTGTATCCGCCTCACCTGCTGATATGATAGAAAATATAACAAAAGCCTCCTGGTGGACTCCGGCATTGTTATTGTTTCCCAATGAGAGAGAAACCCCGAAACAAGGAGCGGGAGGGGCCGGACAGTCCCGATCGGGGCCGCATTAGCATTCAAGGGTGGAATCAAATGAACGTGGGAGGCAGGAAAAAAAAACGCAGCCCTAACTTTGAAGACACTAAGAGATACAAACACCCACACAAGAAGCATGACATTTACTCTACAAATACTCTGATTCACTCGTTATGATGAAGGAGAAGAAAAGGGCTCAGCACGTCTCGGCTCAGGCTGACAGAGAGATGTCATAAATCTAAAGATGGAGGCAGAAACTTTTAAAAGAACGAACAAGCAGGGGACAATTTATTTCATTTGGTGTGAAAGATCTGCAGCTGAGAGCGACATCTATCAAAGTTTACCACTTATGTCAAAAAAGGTGCACCTTGGAGGCCTCCTTGGGCAAGTCGAAGGGGATCCGCTGACGAATTTTAGGAGGCAGCTGAGTCAGGACTTCGGCTTTGAGGCGACGGATCATGATCTGGCTCAGCCGCTGGTGCAGCTCCGTCAGGTTGGACGCCCCGCGACAGTCCCACTGTCTGCGAGGCCCAAAATACCTGAAAGGAAACACTTTAAATGGGTATTTCTATTTGGGAACATTACAGTAAGGCAAGGCAAGGCAAGGCAAATTTATTTGTAAAACACAATTCAGTACAAAGTCAACGCAAAGTGCTTTACATGATTAAAATACAGGAAAATTAAACAGAATCAAAGCATTATAGAATCAAAGCAATATTTAAAGTTTAGATGGACCCATGTAAAGTAGTGTAGAGCTATGGAGTGCAAAGATAAATAAAACAAGTAGGTGCATCTATTTCCCTTTACCTAAACAGCTGGATTTAGAGCTACAGTTTAAAAGTTCGTTAAGGACTTTGAACCTTTCAAACATCAATATGTTTTGATCTAATCTTCCAAAATTATGCTCCAAGTTTAAATTCAAGTCACTTTCTAAAGTGCCTGTGATGTCTTTCCCTAATTAATCTATATAGATTAATAAACTGTTGAAACAATTGATCAGATTAATCCATTACTGATATAATCGTCAACTGATTTAATAATCAATTAATCGTTAAATGAAGTACAGAGACTCTAAAACATGCCTTTATCTGACAGAGCGACCCACTTAGTGCAGTAATTATAGCAAGATTGTAAAGAAATATATACATATTTTGCATTTAAGATTAAAAAAAAAATACATTTAAGATGAAAAATATGGATCATCTCTATCCATAATTACTCAAATGGGAAAGTTTTAGTTAAACCTGGATTGATTAAGTAAAAAATCCTCTTTAAGGAACCTTTGGTTATCCGATTATTGATAGATTAATTGAAAAAATAATCGACAGATTAATAGATTTGCAAAGTAATCGTTAGTTGCAGCCCTAAATAATTGAAAGATGGCACAGAAAAAAATTTATTTTAACGAAATATCTCCGCATTTAAATGTACAGTTAGAGAAATCTGTGTAAAATTTAAAAACAAGAAAAGGGAACTTTCAGTCTGCTTTTTCTTTTTTTTAAGATGTCCAGAGGCGTAGCCAGACATTTTTTATAAGGGTGGCCAGGCAATAACAAATATAAACTGAGGGGGGGCTGAAAGTTGACCCTCAGGGTCAAACTACAACAGGAAAATGAACAGGCACAACATCCGTATTTTCTAAATAAAGACTACACTGCAAAAACAATCCAGAAATAAGTAAAAATTTCTTAAATTAAGTGTATTCACCCTTAATTTGAGTAGGTAAATGAGATAGTTTGCCAATAGAATGAGTAATTTTACACTTAAAATAAGATAAATAGAAAATATGCACTTGAAATAAGACAAAGCAATTGTGTTTTCTTATTTTAAGTGTAAATTTACTCATTCTATTGGC